AAAAAAAAAAAAAAAGAAAAAAAAAAAGAAAAAAAATTTGAAAAATCTGAAAAAACAAGAATTATGCAGAAGAATAAACTAAACAACATTTGCCTCAACATTATATCCAAATTCTTTACCAAATTTGAAATAAAAATCAAATACTAAAAATAAATAATAATAATAAAAATTAGAAAAAATAAAGCGTGAATTAAATTATTGAGTGGGCGAGCACATTTTTGACACTGCCATCTTTGGCGATTTTTTATTATTTTTTGGCTATGACAAATGCCATGAAAATTTATATATTTGTATCTTACATAATAGAGAATCTACGAATATAGTTTGAAAAAATAATAAATTGTTTTATGCCACGAAATAAAGGAAAAACAAAATGTGAAAAGAGAGAAGTGGGCAAGCAAGTTTTGACACCACCACCTTTGAGGATTTTTCATTTTTTTTTGGCTGAACAGAATGACTTCAAAATTAAGCGGGGGATACCTTACATCACAAAGAACTCACAAAAAAAAGATCAGAAACAAATAATAATATTTGGGTGCCAAAATATTTTTTTGCAGGGTCTGAACCCCTTCAAGTTCGGGCCCCGAACGTTGGGGGGTCATCTTAGGTAGGTAAATTCAGTGCCATGTTCACGAAGTAAGCAACCAGCACAATGTTTACCAAGTAAGCACACAAGTGTTCACAAAGCAAGCATACTGCCTCTGCAATGATTTACTGAGTAAGCACGCAGTGAGATTGTTCAGGATATGAACATAGACAAAACCACAAACACGTCGCCGTACGTTCGGCCTGGCATATATATATATATCTGTTTGTGACGATATATATATATATCGTCAAACATATAAATACAGGGTATATATATATATATATATCGTCAAACATATAAATACAGGGCCTCGCCGTGCTCTCCACATGCGCAGAAGACCAAAAAGATGGCAATATAATATGTATCTTTCCTTGTTCTACGGGTGGATTCTGTCTCATCTTGCACATTTGGAGAGAAGTCCGGCGAGGTCCATACAATCCCAACCAAGTGGCGGCTGCGCATATCGGTCCGTTCCTCTGTCTGTTGTGTTCTTCACTCTCCTCCCACTCTCTCTCCGCCAGAGCGTCACTCGCCACACCACTCTCGAAATGTGAGAAAGACAAAAACGTGGCGTATGCATCTGGCCATGTTCTACCGCCTAGTTCATTCTCATTTTGCACTTTTCGAGACTGGTGCGGCGATGCCCCTCAGAGCGTCGTATCTCTGCCAGATCGGTCGTTTCCCTTCCCTTTTCCCTGCCACTCCACCTTCTCCTTTATCGTCCCCCCCCTTCCGTTGCAGCTCTTCGGTTTCTCCATGCTTGCAAAGCAGCTAGCAAAGCAGCTAGCAAAGCGAAGCGAGAGCAAGAGAGGAGTACGATCAGAAAGATGGCGTTGCCTGCGCAGGAGGTTCCCCAGACTGGGGACTGTCTTGGCGAGCAGGCGGTAATATCAGAAATGGCGATGACGATGGCGTTCTCTTGCCAACAGGTCCCTGAGAACTGTCTGGCTTCTTTCAAGTTGATCCTCGTCGGCGATTTGGGCTCTGGGAAGACCACTTTCGTGAAGAGGCACCTGACGGGAGAGTTCGAGAGGTGCTACGAGCCGACGATTGGCGTGGAGGTGCATACTCTGGATTTCTTCACCAATTGCGGCCAGATTCGTTTCTTTTGCTGGGATACTGCCGGGCAGGAGAAATTCCGCGCCCGGCCTGATGACTACTACTATAGGCATGGGCACTGCGCCATCATCATGTTCGATGTGACGTCGACGTGGACGTACGAGAACGTGCGGACGTGGTATCGGGACCTTCGCCGCGTGTGCGGGAACATTCCCATCGTGTTGTGTGGAAACAAGGCTGAGGTTAAGGAGAGGGCGGTGAAACCCAATCAGGTCACTTTCCACAAGAAGAAGAACATTCAGTACTATGAGATTTCTGCCAAGCGTAATCACAACTTAGAAAAACCTGTCCTGTATCTCGCTCGTAAGCTGACAGGCAACCCCAATCTCCACTTCGTTGAGTCTCCAGCTCTTGCGCCGCCGGAGGTGATGGTGGACATAGAGAAGCAGAAAAAGAACGAGGCGGCGGAAATTGCTGCCGCCGCTGTACAGCCCCTGCCTGATTGGGGGGATGATGAGCTGTCGGACAGCTAGATTAGTTTGTTTGTTTGTTTGTTTGTTTGTTTGTTTGTTTGTTTGTTTTTTTTTTTTTTTTTTTT